CGGGAAGGAGCCGGGAAGGGCTCAGCGCTCCTGCAGACACACGTAAGGCACCCACTGGTTCCTGTCGCGACTCTCGGCGCAGTAACTCGCCACCTCCGCTAGCCCCTGGCTCTTCCACGCGTCCGTGTGCGGGTTCTGGGGGAAGGGAGAACACGAGTTTAGTGCCACCAGCTCCCCGACACGTGTCCCCGAGCCGCCCCGTCACCCTCCCCGTGGCGCCGTCACGGGGCCAGCGGCGCGTCACCTCCCCCGCTCACCGTGACCAGGAGGCAATGCAGGTCCCGGGGCTCGGAACCGGGCTCGGGCTCGCCCAGGATGGCGGCGAGGCGCTGCATCCCCGACACGCGCAGGATGTGGATGTCGTTGTCGCAGCAGAACGCCTGGATGAGGGTGAAGTGGATCTGCAGGGCGATGTCACCCTCGTCCTCCTCGTCGGTGGCCAGCACGCACAGCACCACGCTRTCCGGATCCCTGCGGGGGCACGGCGGGTTAGGGGCGGCTCACGGAGGGCTCTGGGTGTCTCTCCGACCCCTTCCCGCGGAGCTGTCACCCCCCTGTGTCACCTCCCTGTCGCGCTCAGAACGGGCGACAGACCCCCCCAAATGCTGCCTGGTCACCCTCCCCGTAAAACCTTCCAGCTCTCACTAATCGAACCGGGACGGAACAGCGCTGGTGCAGCCCAGACCCCCGCGACAGCCCCCCCGACAGAGCCCTATCGCGATACTCACACATTCATCAGCTTGGCCGACTCGTAAACGCCCACGGTGAGCCGGTCCTGCCGCTGCGCCGCCACCAGCACCCGCTCCACCGCCTCGCTCACCGCCTGCATCCTGTGGCGGAGGAAGGACAGAGCCGGTGAGCAGCGACGGCGACAACCAGAGCCACCAGAGCCACCAGAGCCACCCCCAGCGCCGCGAAACACCCCGAGCTGCCCGCCACTTACTTGCTGCTATCGCAAGGCACCAGCTCCTCCAGGGTCATGGTGCAATTGTAATCCCAAAGAGAAGAAGGCAAATTCCAAGAGTGATAATCCCGAGCGTGGCTAGCGCAGAGCTGCGAAAAAGGGTTGGGAGATATCGCGGAGATATCGCGGAAATATCGCAATTCCCGGTCCCGCTCCGCTCCTTCCGCTCCTTCAGCGCGATCGCTCTGAGGCTCCGCCGCGCCCTGCGCCGCCTTTTATAGCCCCCGTGGCTGGGCGTGGCCTCGCGCGGCGCCCCCGCCTCGCCCATTGGCTGGCGCCGCGTGAAGCCGCCCGCGGACGAGGCGCTGATTGGGCGCCGCCGGCTGGGCCCACGTGGGGACGAAACGCGGGGGGGGCGCGCGGGGGAAACCCCCGCCCTGAAACTGCGCCCCCCCCGCGCGGGAACGTGCGTGGGACCGGGGGGAGGGGGC